TCCACAGAACCCAGCACAGTATCTGAATTTGAAAAAGTATTAGGTTATTGTATAATTTCTAAATATTAAATAAAAAATCACAGTTTACCTTTTTTACTAAATGGCACTCCTTTGATATTATAGTTGTAAAACTTTAATGAAGCTGTAATAGCCAACAGAATATGTAGGGCAACTTCAATGGAGAATATAAATTTGATGAATGAAGGCAGTAATGAAATGTTGCAGTGCTTGAAATCATCAAATTTGTCACGCACTGTGTGATTAAAAAAAAAAAAAAAAGCTGCTACCAGAGTAAAGCATACAGATATTTTGATAATCTAAAAATACATCTGACAAATATGATATATGATAGGAATGGCAAAAAATAAGTCTTTTAAAGTCAGTTTATGACCACTCTTCCAGCTTATCCAAAACTTTATATTACACTGTTAAGTTGGAGTTAATTGAATTACTCGAGAATGAATCATTTATGAAAGCAATCGTCATTGGTATATTTCAAGACATACATGCAAACAAAAGACATGCATGCTAATATATAAGCAAACAGAAGCTTGATGGGAGGAAAATAACTATATTGTAAATTAAATGGTCCAAATTCTCCTGACTTATGAATCAAAAATAGCTGGTGATGTTCAGTGTTTTTGTAAAAAATGCTTTGATTTAGTTGGCAGTAAGCTCAAAAACCCCTTTTCAAAGCCCTGCATTTTCAAAAAGAAGAAATCCTGTATTGCATCATGCAGTATACAAGTATGCTTTGAATGAGAGTGTCTATTTATATACACATACATAATATATACAAGCACATATTTATATAAGCATACAGAATTGATATGTAATATTTTTGTATACATACATAAACAAATTTATGCAAATGATAAGGTAAACAGATTTACACATAATACAGCAAATAACATTTGCTAGCGTATAAGACACACCCCTTTTTATACACATTTTTGAAGGATAAAATTTTATTACTGATCATTATAATAAATTTACAGTATTTTAAATATAAAGTAATATTTTCTGCAAACACCCAATTTATCTGGGAAAGAACACCTTTTAATCTTCTTCGTCAAAATCCAGACATCCTCATCCAGAGCTAAATGAAGAGTCACTTGAAACCTCTTCTAAATCAGCATCTGAGCCCTCATACAACAAGTTGTCCTCTGTACCATCCAATGTTTCCATGTTCTTTAGCATATGCAATCACTTGTAGCTTGTATACAGGGTTCGTACGGTCTTTAAAACTCCTTAGATTTTTTGGAATCAATTTTTGGCCCTTAAAAGTCCTTAATTTTGGCCAAAATCAGCTGAAGGTCCTTAATTTTAATAATCTGAAATTTCTGTCTGTTTTTATGGCTGTCATTTTGAGTGTGAATTAGCATTTTGAGGAATAATTTTGGCGATTCACTGCCGTATATATGGTTATCTTTTGAATGGGTTCATGAGTTATAATTGGTTTCTATTTCTAATATAAATGATGGGATACTCGAGTTTCTAAGCAAGAAGTGAAATATAAGCCTTTCGAAATTCATTTTTTCTAGTAAAGAGCTCTTAAACAACTTTTCGCTTTTGGGGGTGTGAATTCTTTTATTAAACGGTTCTAAATTTGGCGACTTTTCAACATTTTGGCGATTTTAAGATTAGTTCTATAGAAACTTTTTAATTCCAAGGTCTGAGAATTTTTCGACGATTTTTTTTAAAACATTGTAACATTAATAAATTTCATTAAAATAATGGTAATATATTGAAATAATATTTAAAAAATAACATTAAAATAAGATTTTTTTTTTCGCTGTAATATTATAAAGTTTCATTTTGGCAACTTATTATACAATATTTTAAATCTGAAAAATAAACAAGGTATAATGCTATAAAGCCCAATTTACGAAACAGCTCTTAGGAAAAGCAAAATTAGCTATGTAATTAATTAAAAAATGCCTTGTTTTTAATTATTTCATAGTAAGAGTAATCCCATGTAATTGTCTCAGAATATTCAAAATTCTCAGAATGTGCATCAGTTTTCTCTATAAAAATAATTTTATATTTTTTCCCAAAACATTTCTGGCTTTTTGCTGTTACAGAATTGGTAGGGATAATTTTTCTTTACGATTTTACACATTGCAGCTTGGAAAGTTTAGAAGGATTTGAAGGCAAGATTTATAGATCCACGATTCTAGAAGATTCGAGAAATATATGACCAAAATGAAAAATGTCTCCATGGTATCAACATGTAATGGATGTATTTTACAGAGAGTTTGCAATGAATTTCTTAATTTTTGGAGAACATCTGGAAGAACAACGAAAACATAATATATAAATGTTTTACTTCTGATACTAGAATCTTAACATATTAATCTTATCTTTATTTTCTCTACTTTTCACTAGACAGAAGCATGGAAAATATCAAAAATGCTTCTGATTTTATTACATGGGAAGGCATTATAGAAAGGGAATTTTTTATTAATAAAGAAATTGAAAGCTTACAATTTAAAAAATTCATCTAATATTTCTTAATGCATCATACACATAGCTGGCACTAGGCATTTTCCCACCTGATGCAATCTCTGTGGATCCTAAATTCTGTTGCCTAAAGCCTTTCTAAATTCTGCTTACAATGTCTGCTCTAAATTCTAAAAGTTTTGCCATTTCTAGATTTTGTTGTTTGGTGTGACTAAATTCTAGAAATTCTGCCAATCAGCTCTGTAACCGTCTTTTACTATATATATTTCATATTGCTTCTGAATGTTCATATTACTAAAGAAATAAAATTAGCCGCTTTTTCTGTACATTCTATATGCATTTAGTGTTTTTTAGAATAACGGAAATCCAAAATTAAATCCAAAATTTCTAAGATGAAAAGGAAACGTGTTGAAGAAAGAAACTGAGTACATAAAGGAAATTATTCTTCAAAGATATGGGCAGTTATTATTATGTAAATTACCCAATTGTTTATGATCTCAACCTTTACTATAATTCCCCATTTCTATTTCCCCCATGTGATAGAGTTATTGAGTGAGGTTAAATTAAAATTAAATTGTATAATCTTTGACCACTAGTCCACATTATTAGTTTGAATATGACTGTTCTTGTTTAATTACGTCACCGTGAGCTGTAATTGATTTTGTTAGCATCAGAACATGCCTTTATGTTCTAAGCTCTTTTTAAATAAGAGGCTTATTTAAACCTTTTTCTGGTATTGTAGTTAATTTCAGACATAGCGATAATATGCTTCACGCCTGTCGGGCGTTTTGGATTATTTAACTTTTACCAGATCAATTAAACCCTCATAGGTACATTGTGGAGAGGTTGACAAGATAAAGACGCAGAAACTAGCAAGAGCATTGATTTGCATATTGAGACAAATCTCTAATTGTTAGAAAAGATGCTTAAAGAAAAGGAAATCGATATAAACTAGCCAAAATGTCTGGGAAGGCTTCAAATTAAAATGATGAATAAATATTTTGTTGACTGCTGTTGTTACAAAACATAAATGTTCTGTAGCTTTTAATGCGTAATTACCTTAATATTGTTTAAGAATCTGTGTCATAAATTACATATACTTTAAACTGTGAAATTTTATTAGATTTTGATTTAAATAGAGCTTTTTTAACAAATATTGTTTAAAAATAAAATTTAATAGTGGTCATGTAAATCCATAATGACTAAGGTTATCAAACTACCTAATTTAATTATTTATATCTAACTGCTTACCCTTAAAAATTATCTCTACATATTAAAGCGAGTTATTGCCTTTCAAATTAATACTCACTGTGATCACAAGATAAATTATAAAAATGTAAAAATTCAAATGAAACATATTCTATGCATCTACTTAAAATAATACAAAACAACTTATCACCTCTGGTGCTTTAATGGCTTATTGAAACCTTAAAGTATATTAACTGGGTTATAACCTCTGGAACTGTACACGAAGCTATGACACTAACTTCATCAAATAGAACCTGACTAACTTTCAACACTTGCCTACATCAGGCCTTTCAGGTTTGTTCTAATCAGCAGGGTTCTCTCTAGACAAGCAGCAGCGGTGACAACATTCAGTCTTTTGTTATGAATCATGCTGATTATGATCTTACGTCTCATTTTAACCTATGTAGTTTGACATAAAATCTACCTGATTATTTACTGAACCTCTAGACTGACCAAGTATGTGACAAAAAGGGACATAAAAAAAAATCAACATAAAGCTAACTTTTAGTAAAACGTAAATGTTACTTATCTTCTTTCAAATATGACCTACAATTATAAGTGTAAAATATTTAATGCTACTTGATAAATTGCATAAAGTTTATTTTACTCTCAAACTTATTAACAATTATCTTAATTAATTCATGTTTAGCAATAATGCGTACTACTTAGAGATCTATTTTATTTTTAGGATGGTATTGCAAAAAGGATATTCAGGCATAGATAATATCTTCAATTGAATTTATTCAGTTCCCATTTGCTCATAGGTCCTTAATTTTTTCATTAATGGTCCTTAAAAGTACTTAATTTCCTTGTGCAGAAATGTGTACGAACCCTGTGTATACTATGTTATAGCAATGCTGAGGTTGTTTTTGAGCCATAACTTACCAACAAATTTAAGGAAATTAACAGTAGAAATTTCCCGCACTTATAAAAGTCGTTTACAAAATTCGAAAGTTTAAATGAACCCAGCTGTGATCGTCAATGACTGCGCATGCACATTTACTTATCTATAATATTCCCACTGTCTGCAAGGAAACAAGAAAAAAAAATCTGAATAGAGGAAATTTCCAGAAATGAAATTTTGAAGTATAACACACACCTCGTTTTTCAGACCTATTTGCAAAAGAAAAAAAGTGCATTTTACACTCTCGCAAATATGGTAATATACACCGCCCTCTAAAAGTTAAGGAACAGCATGTTTTTTTTTGTGTCTAATCGGAGAACAAAGCAGCATAAAAACAAGAAATTTATAGGACATGTTCCCTAAACATTTCTTGAATATGACATAGAATGTTGTAAAAGTTCAAGACAAACAAGTATTACAACAAAAAATTCAACTTTTGGCAGAGAAATCTAGTCTTGGAGAAAAAGTTTATCACAGTTATTTGTGGGAAAATAGGGTGGTAACATTACAGAAATGGGTTCTAATGAGGAATGTCTCCACTTTTAGCTGTAATACATTGGTAGCAGCAACGTTTCATGCTGTCAATTAAGCTGTCAGTCAGTGAAATGGGAAGCAAAGACCAGGCATGGAGTAATCCTCGTTCAAGCTCATCTAATGACCTTGGACCTTAAAGCAGAAACCTGTCTGCAAAGGCAGTCCCAAAGATGTTCTATCAGATCAGGTCTGGGGATTGAGCTGGCCATTCCATCCGTTCCATCCCATGACCAAGATATTCTTCAGCAACCCGAGCTCAGTGCAGTTGCGCTTTGCCATCCATCAGAAGAAATCCAGGACCAGTAGCAGCGGCATATGAGCGGACGTATTGATCAAGGATCTTGTGTCGATATCTCACACCAATCAAAGTTCCTTTATGGAACACATGCAGGTCAATGTGACCACCGAGAGGTCACAACCCAAACCATTATTTTACCACCTCTGTAACTGTGTCTTTCTACCAGGACTTAAAAGAGAAGGACTAGCTCATAGAGCTTTTTCCCCTGAAACAGGCAGTGGATAGTGATGACGTAGCCATGATGACACTGAGCGCGGAGATGCAACTGACAAGATAGAAATTAGTGTTTTAAATTTGAAGAACCAGCGTTTAAAATTAGCTGCATGTGAAAGATAGCTATAATTTGTAAGAGAAAATGTTACTGCAGTATGCATTTTACACTGAACATTAAAAAACTTAATCGTACTCACTCAATTTAAAAATAACAGATAAAATGTGCTGCTCTTAGCAATAAAGTTCCTTTTTTTTTTTTTTTTTAATTTGCAGGGATTTTTTTTTTTCTTTAAATGCCTGTTTATTTCTAATCATTTCTTTATGTGCATGTTAACTAAGAGAACTTTACTACTGCTTTTAAGATAACTATAATAACAGCTATTTAAAATGAATCAAAAAACAACCTTAAATTGGCATAGTTTTAAATATGTATGGTTATAATGGCAAATTTTCTGCTAATTTAAGTTTGAGTTTCAGCCCAATTGTAAATTTTACATTAGCATATTTTTCTTCTGATTCAATATAATAACACATATTTTTTTAATAATTTTGTAACTTACATCAATATTACATTTAAATAAATACATGTAAGATTGTTATCTTAATTTAGACAAAACAACTTTACTCACAGTACCTAAAAAAAATATTTAATTTTTCAAAAGTTGGGGTTAAGGAGGTAGGTCTTCTTATGCCAATTACTTTAATGTTATACTATTATATTTTATCTAGAATGCTAAGCTAGCACAAAATCGAATCAGTAATAACACAAGATACAATAAAATTAACTTTAACAATAACTTAACAAAATTAGTTCTCATTTGAAATATGCTTTACGCTATTAACTTCTAAAATGTCATCTAGAAATATTTCAAATCAAAACATATTATACATGCTTACTTGTACAGTCACAATGCAACTACAAGTTGTTGAAATATTATTTATTGGCTGCCACATTCGAAGCAATCCACTTTTTTGCCTTTTGGGCTGCTTTTCTTTGGGAAAAAACATATGCATTTCTATTTAATACTAATTTAGATCATGTAGTTTCTATTTAAGAAACGTATTCTAATAAAAGTTTGCACTCTATGAAATAAACTGCTTCTCTGTTAACTTCAGGATAATGTTTCTTCAGTTTATTAATTAAAGAGCCAATTACATGCTTCCCTTTATAGTAAGTTGTACCATGAACTGCACAAAATATGTTTTCGAACTCGTAAACTGTATTCATCCATGAATGGGAAGTCAAACCTCCTAAGGACAATAATTTAATCCATTCTGAATTAAATATTGGTTCAACAGCACTATTTTTAGATATTGTTCCCAATGATGGTGCACATCAGTGGTTTTAAGATTCAGTGGTAATCCAAGTTTGTCGAAAGTGTGGTGGTTCAGGAAAACATTATATCACATATCTCTTATCAATAAATCAAAATCAATAATTAGCAATCAATAAAATATAAATTGATTTAATTAAATATAATAATATCTCAATCTCAGAAATCGCACATTATCCATCGAGTCTCAGCACACACTCAAAGCCCTCTAGCATTAGGTGGGTCTTTCCATTCTCCCCACTTAAACTCCCATGGAGTTTACATTTCAATTTCCAGATATTCAAATAAATTTAAAGTCACTAAAATTACACTAAACTAAATATTAAATTGGTAAACTATTAGATATAAAAGTTTTTCAAGTTCAGTCAGTCTTTAAATGGTAGAGGAATAATTTTGTTGATGGCTCGCTGAAGAACACCTGTAGAGGTTTTAACTTCAGCTACTCTGACCAGACCATCAGCACCAGGATACACTTGTTGGATGCGACCCAATGGCCAATGCAAAGGATTGTGGTTGGAGTCCTTCAGCAGTACTAGTTGACCAATTTGCATGTTTGGCTGTGAACTGCTCCATTTGGCATGATTCTGTAGTTGATTTAGATACTGTAGCTTGGAGTCTCTGAACTAGTTCCCACCTGGAATGAAAAGAAAGAGAATACGAAGCAGTATGTTGTTCAGGAAAGGATAACATAGCACTTCCTGTTAAAAAATGTCTCGGAGTTAAAGGCTGTAAGGCGTTCAGATCGGAAGAAAGCGGTGATAATGGACGGGAATTCAGAACTGCTTCTATATGAGTAACTAAAGTAGTTAACTCTTCAAAATTCATGATAGCTGATTTTGCTACCATTAACAAAATCCGTTTCACAGATTTTATGTTTGCTTCCCACAGTCCTCCAAAATGAGGAGAAGCTGGTGGGATAAATTTCCATTGGATGCCTTCCTCTGCACTAAATCCTTGAATTGTGTTAGATTTGCAAATATCATTATATGTGTTAAGAATATTTCTCGCACCTTTTGAAATTCGTGGCGTTATCGCTCCAGATAACAGCTGGTTTGGATCTTCTGGCAATAAATCGTCGTAAACAGGCTAGAAAAGCTTCTGTTGTTAACTGAGAAACAACTTCTAAATGCACTGCTTTAGTGCAAAAACACATAAATAATGCAATATAAGACTTTAAAGTCACCTTTGACCTTTTCAAATAAGGTTTCGTGATTATAGGTGCTGCGAAATCTAATCCGACCTTCTCGAAAGGTCTAGAAGGCACGACTCTGTCCCTAGGTAGATTACCCATCATCTGGTTTACCGTTTGATTCTTCGTTCTAAAGCAAGTCATGCACTTATTTATTACCTTTCTAACTCGATCTTGACCAGACGCTGTCCAATAAGACTGTCTTATTAATGATAATGTAGTCTGTACGCCAGAATGTAAGGATTTTCTATGATAATATTCAATAACTAAATTAGTGTAATGATGAGCCTTTGGCAAGAATGTCTGATGTTTCTGAAATTCAGAAAACTCAGAATACTCCAGTCTTCCTCTTACTCTCAGTACCTCAGTTTTGTCAAGAAATATGTTCAGAGATGATATTTTACTATTTCTTGGAATGGATTGTCCGTTTTTCAAGCACTTTATTTCCCTTTGAAATTCAGTTGATTGTACGAGTTTTACTAAAACTAGTAGCATGTCTTAACTCAGAAGCACGTATGAAGTCTGTTCTCAACTCTGGGTTTGCTTTACAGTTATTTATAAATCTCAAACATAATGCAGTTATCCTAATTAATTTACTGAATGAGGAGTATCTTGTGATCAAATTGTTTTTCTTTTGGCTATTTTCAACAGTTGCATTTACAACAACTGACTTCTTAAACTCTAACTTATAGACATCTACTTCGGTTTCTTCCATTGTGTTATGAAGAACACAGAAAATATATAAATCAAATATATTCAAAACAGTTTGTTCAGTTGCGGGATGCCTCTACCCAATGCTGGGTGCATTATGAATAAAGACAAAAAAAAAAAAATTCTTAAGTCATTCTTTATATCCATCAAAACAGTATCACTCTTCCGAGATCAGCTTTCATCCTGTCTATGAGCAAAACATTCGAAAAAACTCAGTACGCAGGCTGACGTCACGAACAGCAGCGCCTCGTGCTGGTTATTATTTCAGTTCATTTCACAACATCCTTCCCCCCTTGAGACTCAGGTTGAGTCTCAAACTCATAACAAACATTATTTAAAAGATCAAGTCTTTTTGGGAGCTTTTACAAATCGTCCAGAGGAGGAATATTGTTGCATTACCATTTTATCAGGTACAATTCCCCCCTTTTAATGTACATCCAGTCTTACTTGATTAGATTCCTCTGCACCCAGTTTTTTATGAGGAATTATGTTTCTGTCATTGGCCTGTGTCTCCAGAGGAAAGATGCATTGTATCGGTCATACAACTGTTCCATAACACAAATTATCTTAAGTCTTAAATTTAACCGTGCAAATCTTTCCATCACGTCCAGGGATGAATTCTGTAATTCGGGTTAAGGGCCAAAATAAACGTTTTTTATTATCTTCCATCAGTACTATTTCTCCAACTACAGGTTCCCGAGATCGTTTTTCATATGCTTTTGAACCAGTTGACTAAGGTATTCTTTTCTAAATCGTTGTCTCAGATCATTTAACAATTTAGTTCTATACTTTAATCTCTTATTAAGACTTGACAAATTTAATTCATCAAGATCTTCAACATTGGAATTTCTGTTCTCGATTAGAAACATGGCGGGTGTCAGAGGGACTAATTCCTGCGGATCTTCAGAAATATACGTTTAGGGTCTATAATTAATTATAGTTTTACAATCACAAATAATAGTATAAAGTTCTCCCACCAGCCACCCCACCAAGCTGCAGTAGATGGAATAAATTTCCAGATTATCCTTTCAGTTCCCGTTTCCTTTAATACTTTAGCCCAATTTAGTTTTGATAAATCATTAGATGCACCCCGAAAATTTGTCCCGTTATCACTATAAATTATTCTAGGGCGTCCGCGTTTAGCAACAAATCGTCGAAGCGCCAGAAGAAAAGCTTCAGTAGAAAGAGAATTTACGAGTTCAAGGTGAATGGCACAGTACACAGTGCATGTGAACAGTGCGATCCACACCTTTCCTCCATTTTTTAAAAACAGCGGTCCAGCCAAATCAATCCTTATGATTTCCAAAGTGGTGCACAATCCTGTAACTCGGTCTGGTGGCAGAGGTGTCGGTTCTCTTGACATAGCCTTAGTTTTAAATCTTTTACAAACGATACAGTTAAAGAGAGACATTTTTAATGGCCTTTCTAGCTCTGACTATCCGAAATCTTTCTCTGTAATATACATTGCATCATTCTGAAGACCAGCATGACAGTTCTTATTATGTACATTTCTGATTAATAACCTAGTGAAATCACATTTTTTCTTTTTCTGGCAACAGGTATTGGATACAAGAAAAGATTCATGGTCATCTCTATTTAAGTATTTCTCGTTTTAACTCTCAGAATACCATCATCATCAATGAGCGTTTCAATAAAATTAGTGAGCGTTTCAATAAAATTATATTTCTTATCAGTCAGATAATAATTTTGAACCAAACGAATTAAAATTTCTCAGACTTTTCAATTTCATACTGTGAAAGTTCAATGTTTCTGTTCTTTTCAGAACCATCTTTACAATTATTTACAAATCTAAATATCCATGCAAATATTCTAATTATTTTGTCATAATTGGATACACTGATTCAATGCCAAGGGGGGTGCGTCTTTTGATAGATCAATATTCACTCTTTTTATCTTTTTCCTCTCCAATTCTACTTCTTCATGCAAATAAATAATCTCACCAGTGGGCCATTTTTCAGGGCCTTCTCGCAACCAGGAGGGGCCTTTCCACCATCTAGACCGAAGCAATTGCTTTGCAAAACATCCGCGCGATAACAAGTCGGCAATATTTAGTTTCCCTGGAACATGTCTCCATGAATGACCTCGCGTAAACTCTCGAATCTCTTTAACCCTATTTTTGACGAAAACAGATCAATTTCCTTGCTCTGTTATCCACCAAAGGGCAGTGGTGAATCAGACCAGAAGGTAACTTTTAAATCAGGCAAACTGAGAGCCTTGATAATAGAATTTGCAAGTCTAGAACCTATACAACAGGCCATTAATTCTAAGCGAGGAATGCTTAAAGATTTCAAAGGCGATACTCTAGACTTCGCCCGTACGAGATTTATTTTTACTTCAGAATTAAATACTGATCGAACAAAGATGCACGCTGCATACGCCCCCTTGCAAGCATCCACAAATACATGTAGTTCAGACGTGTCATTGATAAACAAGTATCAAGGCAAAGTAACATCTTTCAAACCATTAAGTTCTTTAAACCAGTTCAAAAATATATTTACATCATTTGGAGACAATTCACCATCCCATGCAATTTTCACTTTCCACAATTTTTGCAACAACAGTTTCGGAAGCAATGTAGTTGGCGTTAATAAACCAATAGGATCAAAAAATGTCTGCACAATTGCCAAAATTTTCCTCTTTGTGATTTTCGTATCACAGGTCAATGTATCTGTATCTGTGCAGCACCTCAGCGTATCATTATCCAAATTCCAAATTACCCCCAAAACGGAAGTATCCCATGAATGTTTGTCAACATTTGAACCAGCCACATTGCTTTCAAAACCGCGCAAGTTAAAACATCCATTTGACATGATTAATTTGGAATGTTCAATAAAAGTAAACTGTTCATCAATATTAAAAGCACTAGATAAACAATTATCCACATAAAGGACGATTT